TGATTCTCCAAAATCTTGAATGGGATTCATGTTCATATGTTTATCCTAAAACATTGTTTTAGATGGACTTATCAACATTCAAAAATAAAAAATTAACTCCAACTTCAGTTATCTATACTTACCTTCCCTTTCCACTTTGATCAACTTTCTGATTATACATACGAGTACTAACTACATCAAAAGGATTCATATTTATACAAACACAAAGGCCACTTACCAAACTACTGAAAATATGTACCAGTATATCATCATCACTCATGCCACTATATTTTGTCGCGTAACGTTTTGTTAAAAAATAACTTGAAAGTTGAGTAGAAGACCCAACACCAGTTCTAATCATAGAAGCATCAACTCCTCTAAAAAGACCTTTTAATCCTTCCCCTTTAACCACACTTTGTAAAGCATTAAGAGTGTTTTTGTAATTATGTTGGTGTCCAATTGCTGTAAAAGTTGAATATGATTGCATACGAGTTTTAACAAGATATAATGGGGATCCTATCGCTGCTCCAATTGATCCTGATAAAAATCCTGAAATTATACTAATAGGCATCGAAGTACTTGATGTATTAAAAAGTTTTACAAGTGAATTTCTCATCGGATCATAAAGTCCAAGTCGTGATCCATTCATCACTAATTGGTACGCATAAGCTGGACCTAAACATGAGCAAAAAATTTACTTAATTTATAAATATATCATTTGAATCGGATAAATAGCAGAATTTTACCTAATCCCTTTTGGATACCGCGAACTCCTTCATGTTTAAGAATAAGATACACCGCTTGAAATATATTTCTGTAAGGTCTAACATAATTTGAATTACCACGGGCTAATTCTCCTTGAAGTTGCAATCGAGTTTTCACAACCTAAATAGATGTTATTAACGCATTTTTCAAAGAAAAACAGTTTGTAAATTATACCAAACAAACCTCCCATGGATTTGTAAATGTAACTGCGGCACACGCTGCTGCACCACCAATAAGAAAACCTGGAAGTGCACTTATTGTCTCCTTAGATTTCATCGAACTGACTGTTGATGATGAAACTGGTGAAACTTTTTGTGATGTATTCATTTTATCAAAATCATGAAATATTGATTAAAAAAAAAATTGCTTTTTTTATCGTGGAAAATTGTGCAACGACAATAATTAATATTAATTTTATTAATTTCAAGATCATCCAGATTTAACTAATCAATTTTTTAATCACGTTTGGTTTTCTCCGCGGGTTATGTTTCAGGGAAAAGAATGCTGACTCGCCTTAATTCAAACTCTTTGTTCATAAAATGTCTACGTTATTCCATATCATTGCGAGGTTTGCTCGCCCTTCATTACGTACTATACGTACTCTCCAACCAAGAGCTCTTTCCTCATTCACTTACACCACCAACCATTCGGATTCAGAAGTTGTTAAAACTATGCTTAATTTCCCAGTTATCACTACTAAAGCAAAAAATTTCACGAGAGAAGATTTGGAAAATTGAGAGTGAAATTTCAACCCTCTCAATTCAAGGACGTCGTCATTCCTAAATTCGAGAAACTTGAAAATTTTCCGAAACAATATATTTGTCCCGAAGTTAGTAAAGACATGATCGCTGATGCAAGTTTCAATGTTGAAGATAGCGAAATTTAGGATCCTTATGTCCGAACATTCTTTGACAAACTGAATTTTGTCTCGATAAACCTTCCAGGGTCACCCGAATCTAGAACTGACTCATTGGTAGCTTATTTGCTTTATATTACTGAGTTTAATCGTTGGCCCTTGAAGATCGAGTAAGTAATTATGGGAAAGTCTGTCTCAATCAATAAATCCAATGATTTCCTAAAATTTTCATTCTATCAAATCCAGTCAACATGTTCCACAAGAACTAAATATTGTGGGTTTACCTTCTGTTGCAGCAATTCCTGCTTTTCAAATTAGTAAGAAAAAAGATAGAGTGACTGTTGTAGTTTTAGAGGTATGTATATTTTTTTGTATATTTGATTGTTGATAAGTCCATCTAAAACAATGTTTTAGGATAAACATATGAACATGAATCCCATTCAAGATTTTGGAGAATCA